AGGCACGCTCAGTAAGAAGGTGGGGCAGCAGGCACGCTCAGTAAGAAGGTGGGGCAGCAGGCATGCTCAGTAAGAAGGTGAGTCAGCGGGCACGCTCAGTAAGAAGGTGGGGCAGCAGGCACACTCAGTAAGGTGGGTTGGTAACTTGCTGAAATTTCTCTGTAAGCAATAATTTTTCTTCATAGGCTTGCGGTCTCCAGTGAGGATCTTTTAGAATATTGTTAATTATTAATATTAACATATTACTTACTGTTATTATTATTATTATTGTGGTTGTTTTTAAATGTTCGCAGTACGAAGGATTCTTGATGTTTCAGAATATTGTCAATTATTATCAATAAAATTAATATATTACTTATTATCGTTTTGAAATGTTTGCAGTACGAAGGATTCTTCATGATCCTGTGGCTCCTGGAACACTGTCTCATCACGCAGCTGCACACGTACGTCTTCCTGTCCGTGCCTGCACGTGGCGTCTGCGCCCCACGTGCTGCACGCGCCTTCTCTGGTGACGGTGGGTTGTTATCACCCTCGCCCAGTGTAGGTGGGTCATGATAGCCCAGTGTAGGTGGGTCATGATAGCCCAGTGTAGGTGGGTCATGATAACTCGTTTGCAGTGCGCCCCACGTGCTGCACGCGCCTTCTCTGGCGACGGTGGGTTGCTATCACCCTCGCCCTGTGTAGGTGGGTCATGATAGCCCAGTGTAGGTGGGTCATGATAGCCCAATGTAGGTGGGTCAATCACCCTCGCCCAATATAGGTGGGTCAATATCCCTCGCCCAGTGTAGGTGGGTTGCTATCACCCTCGCCCTGTGTAGGTGGGTCAATCACCCTCGCCCAATATAGGTGGGTCTATCACCCTCGCCCAGTGTAGGTGGGTCAATCACCCTCGCCCAGTGTAGGTGGGTCAATCACCCTCGCCCAGTGTAGGTGGGTTGCTATCACCCTCGCCCAATATAGGTGGGTCAATCACCCACGCCCAATATAGGTGGGTCAATCACCCACGCCCAATATAGGTGGGTCAATCACCCTCGCCCAATATAGGTGGGTCAATCACCCTCGCCCAATATAGGTGGGTCAATCACCCTCGCCCAATATAGGTGGGTCAATCACCCTCGCCCAATATATAGGTGGGTCATGATAACTCGTTTGCGGTCAGATTGTGTTAACCATAACTCGTTTGCAGTCAGATTGTGTTAACCATAACTCGTTTGCAGTCAGATTGTGTTAACCATAACTCGTTTGCAGTCAGATTGTGTTAACCATAACTCGTTTGCAGTCAGATTGTGTTAACCATCACAGGAGTTGGTACTATCAGACCACAGCCCCCTGCCTGTATTAGATAAATTTCAACTATCTTACTCTTTGCAGGTTCTTTTATCGGCGATGAATTCTCCACCTGCAGCACGAATGGTCAGCAAGAAAACCACGAACGTTTCCGTGAGTTAGGAAACGGACGGACGACCAACTTATCTTCCGCTGGTGTAGTTAGCAGTGAACATACGGCGGATAGTAACGCCCATATAGATCAAACTAATCATGATGCTTTGAACAGTGACATAACAATGGGTAACAGTGATATAACAGTGGGTAACGGTGATCAAACAGTTGCCAGCAATAACTCTACGTCTGCCAGCAGTAACCCTACGTCTGCCAGCAGTAACCCTACGTCTGCCAGCAGTAACCCTACGTCTGCCAGCAGTAACCCTACGTCTGCCAGCAGTAACCCTACGTCTGCCAGCAGTAACCCTACGTCTGCCAGCAGTAACCCTACGTCTGCCAGCAGTAACCCTACGTCTGCCAGCAGTAACCCTACGTCTGCCAGCAGTAACCCTACGTCTGCCAGCAGTAACCCTACGTCTGCCAGCAGTAACCCTACGTCTGCCAGCAGTAACCCTACGTCTGCCAGCAGTAACCCTACGTCTGCCAGCAGTAACCCTACGTCTGCCAGCAGTAACCCTACGTCTGCCAGCAGTAACCCTACGTCTGCCAGCAGTAACCCTACGTCTGCCAGCAGTAACCCTACGTCTGCCAGCAGTAACCCTACGTCTGCCAGCAGTAACCCTACGTCTGCCAGCAGTAACCCTACGTCTGCCAGCAGTAACCCTACGTCTGCCAGCAGTAACCCTACGTCTGCCAGCAGTAACCCTACGTCTGCCAGCAGTAACCCTACGTCTGCCAGCAGTAACCCTACGTCTGCCAGCAGTAACCCTACGTCTGCCAGCAGTAACCCTACGTCTGCCAGCAGTAACCCTACGTCTGCCAGCAGTAACCCTACGTCTGCCAGCAGTAACCCTACGTCTGCCAGCAGTAACCCTACGTCTGCCAGCAGTAACCCTACGTCTGCCAGCAGTAACCCTACGTCTGCCAGCAGTAACCCTACGTCTGCCAGCAGTAACCCTACGTCTGCCAGCAGTAACCCTACGTCTGACGAGGAGGTCGAAATTTTTTCCCTGCTGGCGAAGTCGTCGCTGACGCCCCTGGAGCGCTCGGCCGTCCTGACGCTCTACGCCACGCACGTGTCAGTCATATCGCTGGACGACCTGCGTACCTTCGTCAGGTTAGTGCGTACCTTCGTCAGGTTAGTGCGTACCTTCGTCAGGTTAGTGCGTACCTTCGTCAGGTTAGTGCGTACCTTCGTCAGGTTAGTGCGTACCTTCGTCAGGTTAGTGCGTACCTTCGTCAGGTTAGTGCGTACCTTCGTCAGGTTAGTGCGTACCTTCGTCAGGTTAGTGCGTACCTTCGTCAGGTTAGTGCGTACCTTCGTCAGGTTAGTGCGTACCTTCGTCAGGTTAGTGCGTACCTTCGTCAGGTTAGTGCGTACCTTCGTCAGGTTAGTGCGTACCTTCGTCAGGTTAGTGCGTACCTTCGTCAGGTTAGTGCGTACCTTCGTCAGGTTAGTGCGTACCTTCGTCAGGTTAGTGCGTACCTTCGTCAGGTTAGTGCGTACCTTCGTCAGGTTAGTGCGTACCTTCGTCAGGTTAGTGCGTACCTTCGTCAGGTTAGTGCGTACCTTCGTCAGGTTAGTGCGTACCTTCGTCAGGTTAGTGCGTACCTTCGTCAGGTTAGTGCGTACCTTCGTCAGGTTAGTGCGTACCTTCGTCAGGTTAGTGCGTACCTTCGTCAGGTTAGTGCGTACCTTCGTCAGGTTAGTGCGTACCTTCGTCAGGTTAGTGCGTACCTTCGTCAGGCTAGTTTATCACTCCATATTGACACCACCACCTTCACCACCACATGTTTATGCCACCACCTTCATCACCTTATGCTGACGTCACCACCTTCACCACCACATGCTGACATCATCTTCACCACCACATGCGTATGCCACCACCTTCATCACCCTCATTATTATGCCTCCATCTTCACCACCACATGCTGACACCACCACCTTCATCACCCCCATGCTAATGCTATCACCTTAACCACTTCATATTGACGTCACCACCTTCACCACCCCATGCTGACGTCACCACCTTCACCACCCCATGCTGACGTCACCACCTTCATCACCCCCATGCTGACGTCACCACCTTCACCACCACATGCTGACATCATCTTCACCACCACATGCGTATGCCACCACCTTCATGACCCTCATTATAATGCCTCCATCTTCACCATTACATGCTGACGTCATCACCTTCACCACCTCATACTGACGTCACCACCTTCATCACCCCATGCTGACGTCACCACCTTCACCACCCCATGCTGACGTCACCACCTTCATCACCCCATACTAACATCACCACCTTCATCACCCCATGCTGACACCACCTTCATCACCCTCATTATTATGCCTCCATCTTCACCACCACATGCTGACACCACCACCTTCATCACCCTCATTATTATGCCTCCATCTTTACCATTACATGCTGACATTACCACCTTCATCATCCTCATTATTATGCCACCACCTTCACCACCCCCATGCTGACACCACCTTCATCACCCCATACTAACATCACCACCTTCATCACCCCATAGGTACTAACATCACCATCTTCATCACCCTCATGCTGACACCACCTTCATGACCCTCATTATAATGCCTCCATCTTCACCATTACATGCTGACGTCATCACCTTCACCACC